TATATTCACTCACAGAATATTTCAGTTTCCAGAAGATTTTCCTATAAAAAGAAGCATCATTTATTATTCTACAGCCTTCTTGTGATGTAAAATATCTAATACTACTTCCCTATTTCATTAATCAGATCAAGAAAGTATTTCTTAGATTTATAAAATAGAATAAAAATAATAATAATATGCATCTGATTAAAGAAAATATTTATATTTATCCAATAGTGATCATAATGAAATGTTGGTATAGATATTTCTATCTTAATATGAGGACATTGAGGCTCATGGGAAATAAGAAACACATCTCAAGTCAACCAGCTGTTCTTAAAGAAGCAATTCTAACTAAAAAAAAAAAAAAAGTCTAGAGGATTTTAACCTCTGTTAAAAAAAACTCTGTTAAGGGTTAGAGTTAGGGTTGGTCAATTAAAATTATTAATGGTAAACAGAATAAACATACTGATATGGACATCAAGATTTCAATTTACTGTAAAATTTATTTAACATTTTAAAATTCTTACTTTTCTGTACTTCAAATTATATAACAAAAAACTGATAGGAAATACCCACTATCATTGGGAAGGAAATAAAAGTCTTAAAAACATAATTGAAAGAGATCTAATAGGCACCTATAAAACACTGTTCCTATCATATGGAAAACATTTATAAAAGCTGTATTAAGCCATAGATCAAATTCTATCACTTTCAAAGTCACTATTATAAAAATTTGTTTCTAAATTCTACAAATTGCTTTAAAACCATTTCCACATTTTTGTAAATTTAAAAACAAACATAAGAATAACCCACATGAAATATAAACATATGAAAATTTTAAAATATTGAAATTAAATAATATTAAAATATTCTTAGACCTGTTAGATGAAGATTAAGCAAAATTTAGAGAAATTCTATAGTCTTCAGTGTTTATATTACAAAAGAAAAAGAGAACACTAACATTATGATAGAAAAGATCAAATATATTTAAAATTTGGCTTTTTGAAAAAACAAATGTAAAATTTATAAATATAGACCAAAGTTGATCATGGAAAAAGAGAAAACATACTTGTAAATATTAGGACAGAAGAAAAAAATACAACAAATGAACTATTAAAAGAATATAAAGAAGTTATAGAAACATTATGCTAAAAATTAAAAATTTAGTTGATATCAGTTTTTAGAAATGTATAAGTTACCAAAACTAATTTAAAAATAAATGTAAAATGTAATCCTGAATTGCAATGAAATAAATTTTTAAAAATCTTCTCACAAAAAAACCAACACTTTATGTAGATATATCCATAATATAACTAGTACAAGATTTTAATAAAATAGAAAGTATAAAACTTGGGATGGAAGAAACAATAATGTCATTATTAACAAATAATATGATAATCTGTAAAAAACAGGCATTGGTGAGGATATAAAACAAAGGGAATGAACATTTTGTTGCTAATAAGAGTATAAACACTATTTATTATTTATTTATTTAAATAATATTTTTTATTTTTTGATTATAGTTGGCATACATTATTATATTACTTTCAGATGTACAACACAGAGATTAGACATCTATATAACTCATGAAGTGATCATCCCAATAAATCTAGTATCCATCTGGCATAGTACATAGTTATTACAATGTTATTGACTCTATTCCTTATACTATACTTTATACCTCCATAACTATTTTCTAACTCCCATTTTGTACTTCTTAATCCCTTCCCCCTTCTTCACGTACCCCTCACAACCTCCATCCCATCTTGTAATAACTCAAAATGTTCTCTGCATCTATGAGTTTTTCTGTTTTTGTGTTTAATTTGTTCTTTAGATTCCACATGTACATGGAATCATATAGCATTTGTCTTTCTTTATCTGACTTACTCCACTCAGCACAATACCCTCTAGATCCATCATGAAGTATCTTTTTACATTCCTTTAGTTTTAGTCTGTGTGTCTTTCAATCTGAAGTGAGTCTCTTGTAGGCAGCATATGTAAGGGTCTTATTTTCTTATCCATTCATCCACCCTATCTTTTTATTAGAGTATTTAATTCTTATTCATTTGAAGTGTATGTTGATAGATATGTAGTTATTGCCATTCTTTATTCATTTTTTTGATACATATGTTTTTCTTCTTCTTAAAGAAGACCCTCCAACATTTCCTATAATATTGGCTTGGTGGTGATGAACTCTAGCTTTTCTTTGGGAAGTTCCTTATCTGTTCTTCAATTCTAAATAAAAGTTTTGTTGGGAAGATTAATCTTGGTTTTAGGTCCTGGTTTTTCATCACTTTGAATATTTTGTGCCAAGCCCTTCTGGCCTGCAAAGTTTCTGTTGAGAAATCAGCTGACAGTCTTTCAGAAGCTCCCTTGTAGGCAATTAATTGTATTTATCTTGTGGCTTTTAAGATTCTCTCTTTGTATTTAACCTTTGGCATTTTAATTATGATTTGTCTTGGTGTAGGCTTCTTTGGGTTCATTTTGTTTGGTATTCTCTGTGCTTCCTGTATGTCTATTTCCTTCATCAGCTTAGGGAAGTTTTCAGTCATTATTCCTTGAAATAGGTTTTCAGTTTCTTGCTCTCTCTCTTCATTTTCTGGTATCCTTATGATGTAAATGTTGTTGCACTTGATGTTGTCTCAAATGCCTCTTAAACTAACCTCATTTTTTGGATTCATTTTTCCTGTTGTTGTTCTGATTAGGTGTCCTCTGCTACCTCATCCTCTAAATTGCTAATTTGATCCTCCGCTTCATCCAATCTGTTGATTCCCTCTAATGTACTCTTCATCTCAGCTATTGTATTCTTCATTTCTGACTGGTTCTCTTTTATGTTTTTCATCTCCATTTTTGTATTTTCTATCTCTTTGTTAAAGTTCCCTCTGAGTTCATCCACTTCCTTTAAGTTCACTGAGCATCCTTATAAAACCAGTGTTTTAAACTCTACATCTGGTAGATTGCTTATCTCCACTTTGTTTAGTTCTTTTTCTGGAGCTTTGCTCTGTTCTTTCATTTGAGACATGTTTTTTTGTCTCCTCATTTTGGCTGCCTCCCTGTGTTTGTTTCTATGTATTAAGTAGGGCTCCTCTGTCTCCCAGTCTCCCAGTCTTAGTAGAGTGGCTTTATGTAGCAGGTGTCTTGTGGGGCCCAGTGGTACAGTCTTCCCTGCAGGAGGTACTCAAGTTGAGTCCTTTGTGTGGGTTGTGTGTGCCCTACTGAGGTAGTTGAGTTTTGGTTGCTGTTTGCATTTAGATGGGAGGGATGACCCTTGGCTGATTGGTAGTGAGGACTGACTGGTGAGGGGGGGACTTTATGGAGCAGATTCACTTTAGCAGGGCTCTGGTGCCTGCTCAGTCTGTCCTTTGAGTGTGTCTTCCTCAGATGCAGCCCTAGGTGGTGCTCCGGCTCCACTGCTGGTTGAAGCAGGTCACTGGGTGTGCTGGCTCAAGGGCCTCCTGGGAGGGGTTCAGCTATAGGCCAAGTTCATCCACAGCCTATGCACCCCTAGGGCCACCTGGTAAGAGCCACCAAGCAATTGCCTGTGCTGGGCTTATAGGTGCCTTGAAAGATCAATCCAGAAACCGAGGCTGGCTGCCACTAATGCCAGGCTTGGTGATGCTCAACAAGAGGTACAGGGCATGCTGAGGCCAGATGCTATTTGTTTGGGTTTGGTGAGCCTTTGAGAGATGTTAGGAAATTCCGCAGCGTGAGTCAAGATAGGCCATTTGTATGGAATAAACCACTGAAAGCAGCTTGGGTGGGCTCGCAAGTTGGGAGGGGCAGAGTCTCAGGGAATCACCTGGGCAGAGTGACCTGTGTTATCCAGCTTGATGGAGACCCAGATATGGCAGCTGCCTACATCTACACTCTGGGAGGAGGGAGTGCTCAATTAAGGAACTATAGATACTATCAGCACTTCTGTCTGGGAGAAAGCAGCCCCTCCGGCCCTCTTCCTGACACCTGACAATTCGGTGTCTCCCTGTTTATCCCTGGCATTTCTCATGCAGCTGCCCCAGCACTGGAGCTCAGAGTGACAGTCTGTCAGTAAGTCTAGGTGCAGACCCTGTAAGAAGAACGTCTTCAACTCCTGCAGCCCTTCGTCTCACTCAGCCACAACTTCCGCTGTTTTTTCACACTGGAACTCTAGGATGGGGATCCCAGTGTGGGGCTGAGACCCCTCGCTCCTCAAGGAGGGGAGAGGGTTCTGCAGCCAAGATAACCTTCCCAATTCTCTACTGTCACACACAGTTATGGGACTGATCATTTCATGCCTTTGCCCCTCCTACCATCCTTGAGGTGACCTCTTTTGTATGTCCCCAGTTGTATGACTTCTGTTCAGCCAGACCTCAAGTGACTCCTTGTAATGGTTGCTCTGTAGTTTCATTATAGTTTTGATGTGGTCATGTGAGGAGGAGTGCACAGCATCTATGCAATCTTGGCTGTCTCTCCAACACCCACATAATTTAGTAATCAATTTGGCCATGTTTAGTACATTTGAGGATGCATATGCCATATAGGCAAACAATACTGCTTATTGAGCAGTATTCTCTCGATGTCTTTCTATAGGTACCATGAGATATACACAAGAATATAGTGTTGCTCAAATTGTTTTATACGTCAATAATTCTTTTTTTGAGTTTGTGATAATTCCAAAATATGATACAAAAATTCTTTACTAAAAGAGTATTGTCAAGGGTAGACGTCTTAAATTTTTACCCTGAACAGTGCTTTAAAAATAAATAAAATTAACAACATTATATAATAGAAATGTCGCAGCACTAAGCCCTAGTATGATTGAATCTCTTCTAGGTTTCATTATTAATTAGCAGCTTAATCATACACTACTCTATTTCATATTTCTTTTGTAATTATTTGATAAAATACTAGTATTATTTGATATATACTTAAATTAGAATACTAAGTACAATAAGACAATTTTTACGAGGAAGTGGTTACTGTAAACATTTTCCATGGGACATGGCTGAGAGTACTTGATGCACACCAATGCCTGTACTTACCAGCTGCTGCCCTTGGACACCCCAGGCCGCATACTGCAAGATGGAGTCCTCTACTTCTGGAGGATTTAACTCCCAAACTTCCCTTGAAAAAAGGTAAATATTTTTACATGAACAAATTGACATCTATACCAACAATCTAGTTGGACAATTGCACAAGAAAACCAGAAAATCAAAGAACTTACCTAGTGTGTATGTTGTAAATCACATATGAAGCAGTATATGAATAATGAAAAATCTGAAATTAAAAAAAAAGGTTATTGACCATAATATGAAATAAAGTCTCTATCTAATGTTTATATGTGTTCTTATTAAAGTTCAAGAAATTCAAGAATTAGTTTTAGAGAAATCAAAGTGTGAAATATTCTAGTTTCGGAATTTATTACCTTCTCTGAGGTAATAAATTTACTACAATAGCTTCGAACTCTTTTGACCATCAATCATATCCATTCTTCAGTCTACTCTATACTTAGTATGATTGTGATTGTAATGCTACTTTGTTCAAAGTATTGAATAATTCCTCATTGCCTATAAAGTTCAACCTGTTTCAATGATGTTCAAGAATTTGGGTATTTAGGGTTCTGCCTGCTTTTCCATCCTTATCATCCACTAAATCCCTTTACTTAGTCTATCCTTCAATAGCATTAGACAAATTTCCCCCTGCATATCTTGAACTTTAATTGATTTTTTTTCTAGGACATCCTTCCTCCTTCCCTAACTTTGGAGGATATTTTCCATTCTTGTAATACAGCCTACGCTTAGAGCTTATATTGATCTCCTCAATTGAAATCCATTCCTCACAATTTACTCTGAGTCTTAGGACACTTCTCATCCTATAGTGTAAACTATATTACTATTTTAAGTACATGTCTCCTTTTCCCACGAGAATGTTTTCAGGTCTGTTTATGTATTATCTCTGCATCCTCCACATTACCTAATACAGTGCCATGTTTGTATGCTATATGCAATTGATATTTATTGAATAATGATTCTGATGAAGAAAAACTCATATATCTTGAGTATTTATTGGTGGAAACAAGGTGGGATACCACCACCCTCCTACTCCTTCATAGTAATAGTTTGAAATCATATATTAAATAGTTAATTGCAAGTATATAATCTTCAAGAGATTTTATTTTATTTTTAAAAATTTTTAAAAATATGGTTATATATTTATGTAATTTATAAAGTGATCCCCCTGATTACTCTAGCACCCATTTGGCACTACATATAGCCATTATAATAATATTTACTATATTCCCTATGCTGTACTCTACATCCCCATGGCTGTTTTATAGCTACTAATTTGAACTTCTCCATCTCTTCACCTTTTACACCTAGCTTCTCCAAACCCCATGCCCTCTGGTGATCACTAGTTTGCTCTTTGTATTTGTGTCTGTTTTAATTTAGTTTGTTTTTTTCTTTTGTTCTTTAGATTGCACATATAAGAGAAATCATATGGTATTTATCTATCTTTCTCTGTCTAACTTATTTCATTTTTCATAACACCCTATAGGGTGTTATGGTAAGATTGCATTTTTATGGATGAGAAATATTCCATTGTATATATGTATCATAACTTCTTTATATAATTGTCTATTGATGGACATTTAGATTGCTTCCATATCTTAGCTATTGTGAATAGTGATGCTGTGGACATAGGGGTGCACAGATCTTTATGAACTTGTGTTGCTTTTGTTTGGAGAAATAGCCAGAAATGCAATTGCTGGGTCAAAAAATAGTTCTATTTTTAATTTTTTGAGAAACCCCCAAATTGTTTTCCATAGTGGTTGTACTAACTTGCACTCCTACCAACAGCATGTGAGAGTTCTCTTTTCTCCACATTCTCACCAACACTTGTTTTTTGATTTATTGATGACAGCCAATCTGACAGGTGTGAGATGATATCACATGGTGGTTTTAATTTGCATTTCTCTAATAATTAGTGACCTTGAAAATCTTTTCATATGTCTATTGGCCATCTGTATGTCTTCTTTGAAGAAATGTCTATTCAGATCCTCCGCTCATCTTTTAATTGGATTGTTTGTTTTTTGTTGTTGAGTTGTATGAGTTCTTTATAAATTTTGGATATTAATCCTTTGTCAGATGTACCAGAGGCAAATATATTCTTCCAATCAGTAGGTTTTCTTTTCATTTAGTGGATGGTTTCCTTTGTTGTGCAAAAGCTTTTTAGTTTGATGTAGTTTGTTTCTTTTCTTTTGTTTCCCTTGTCCTAAGAGATGTATCAGAAAAAAATTACTAATAGTTTACTGCGTATGTTTTCTTCTAGAAATTTTATAGTTTTGGGTCTTAAATTTAAATCTTTGACCCATTTTCAGTTTATTCTTATGTATGGTGTAAGAAGATGGTGCAGTTTCATTTTTTTTGCATGTATCTGTCCTGTTTTTCTGACATCATTTGTTGAAGAGATAATCATCAAGATATTTTAGTACCATCTTATAAAGAACCCCGTTTCTTTTCATAAGGAACCTTCCCAAGGATCGCAACACCCATGATGGGGTGACACTAAATCCCAAAGATAGAACCATAGTGGATAATGCAAAAATATCTCTACATTTTGGTTATTATTAATTAGAGGTGATGAAATAGAATACAGAGTAAATGAGAAAAATTGCAAAAGATGGGAGGGAAAGAGAATAAATATGTTATATTTCAGTGGAAATTATTTTTCTATAAGCTATCTAGGTCTAGTGAAGGAATTGTTTCTCTATCCGGCTATATTAATTTATGTTATTATTTTCAGGATTAACAGAATTTATATCTATATTTCTATTTTCAGCATGCACTTATAAAAAGCCTTTTTTTATTCCTATAGTGCATATACATTGTACAAATATTATACACGGCCAATTAAAACTCTCTAGAAGTCAAACTGTTATTTCTTCTTACTGCAATAATAGCTTCAATTACATACGATTGGCCACATATTTGGTAAAGCAATACTAGTGTTCTCTCTTTGCATTGCAATTACAATTCTTTCCTCATTTGTTATAATACTGTGTTTTATAGTGAAGCTTTATTACTTTTAGAATAACTATTAAATCTGAGATTGCTTTCACTATAGAGTTGTAGAAGCAAAAATAATTTTTCCTGATGTCTATTTTAACATTCACATTGTATTCTATACAATTCCATATTGAATACAAATGTTAAACCTTGAATTCACTATGTTTGCTGACAGAGGTAAGAAATGTGACCACTTCTATAAACATTTTTATTTCATCTCAAAAACTTCTGTTGCCAAAGCAAATTGCCAAGTTAGCACTTGATCTTCAAAGCAGACAAATGTGTAAAAGATATTATGAGTAAAAGACTATACATCCCATCTGTTAATCATCTAACACACTGTACCTGAATTCTAGGCTCCCATCCATCATAGGTACTCTTTTAATCAAAGCAAGCCAAAACAATCACTGAGTCAAAACTGGTTATAATCATTGAGTTTTGGTCTCCTTCTACAATATTTGTTATAGAGGTTACTGGCTCTCCTCAATTCATGAATACAAAGGACGTAAATGTCTTCCAAATTATGTGATTTGGAGAGGGAGATACATAAATCCATTTTCTGTTTTGTAGTTCTTAGCTTGATACACCATTTGTCTCTCTCAGCTGGTATGTTGAGGTGGAAGACAATAATAAAGAAGTTACCTTGATTTGTCTGCAAACTCACAGCATGTTCAAGTAATACATTTCAGGGTTTCAGTTTTATTTATAGGTGTCCTACAAAATCAGCAGTTTGCCATCTACAGATAACTAGCCTTTTGCTCTTAGCTTAGAGCTCTTTCCTCTAAATACACTGTCTTTGATGTGTGTGTGTGTGTGTGTGTGTGTGTGTGTGTGTGTGTGTGTGTGTATGTACTCTCAGAAGATTGGAAATACTTCTTGTTTTATAACTTTCCATGATTAAAATAACATTCTATGTCTACAACAGAATATAAAAAGTATGAGATAGGAGGAATCTTAAACAGGGTTAGAGGTAGTTTTCTTTTGGTTTATTTGAGTGCATAAATTTGCAACAATTTTAAATGGGGGCTTTTTCAATGAAAATTGAGTTTAGCTTTAGGGAACATCTGTACTAAAGCACACTGGTCTAAACTCACTCTGTGTCAATTTGCATCTCTCTCTCCTCTCCTCACTCTCTCATTCTTTAATTCTCACTCCCTCTCCCCTTTGGAATGCATTTCCATTCTTTTCTGGCATCCTTCATTTTTTCTTATCCTAGGTTCCTCTGCTACATTGGTTAGGTAGGTCTTGTTTCATGGTGCGAGTATAAAATTGAAGTCACTAAAGGTTAGAAATAGTATTTTTCTTGTGATAAGTGGCTGCTGCATTATAAGAGCCAAACTAAGCATCTGATGAGATCCTTGGGGACAAAGGCATTTCACAGTCAAAAATCACATATTCGTCCCATCTCTGCAAATGATATTCCACTGCTTGTTACAGAATGTGAGTAGTTACAGCAGAGGTGGTGGGAGTAGGGGAAAACTAATATGTAATATGTAAAATCTTAATCAAAGCCTCCTCTTGGAAGTTGAACTTGAGATGTACACACATTTAATCTCATGATGCCAAAAGGTATTTTGGGGGCGGTATAGAAAGCATCATAAAATCCTGCAAAGCCATCTGATCCCCATCGTCTCTACATTACTTTGGGAGCCCCAAGAGGAGGATGATTACTAAATGATTATTACTGAGTAGTATAATCAGTTCTCATTATTTGCTGTAGTTATGTTCTATAAGTAATTGTATACACTGAGTTGGCAATATTGTATGAGGGCCCCTAGGAGGGATACAGGATTAGGTTCCTGTGAGCCTCTGGTCACAACATTTCCATCAACAAATCAATACATTGCCTTATTTCTTATGTTTCTTTTTGAAGTCACTGTATCTGATATTTAATATTGTTAATTCATTAGTATTTCACTCATGGCCAAAAGCATTATAATTCATGCCAGAGCAAAGCTTATCTAACACTAGTACTTTCTCTGTGTAATGCATCACAGTCTTCTTGCTCCTAGGAACACTAGACAACATTTCAGCACTACTCTTGAGAGTTATCTTAAATAGTAAAACCATCAAAAAAGCACCAACATGCAAGAAAACAAAATGATTACGAAAAAGACATTAATTTACAGAATGAAAACCTGAAACAAGAAAGCAGAATGTGGCCTAGTATGATCTCAGCTGGGAAAGTGTGTACCATGCAACTCAAATGTT